GCAACAATGGTTGACGGGGAATACCTTGCAGGTCACGATAGGTCTTCAGTGCATCAACTGGATGTGAGTGTTTGGAGAGTTCAGTGGCAATGAATTCTCTCTGGAACCACTAACCCAAAACTGTTTCCCAGGGTCTGTGGTGGAGGCTATTGAGAAGAAAAACTGACCATCCCAACACCATTCTAATGTCTCTGATTTCTTAGCAGGAGGGTCATAGCCCAATAACATGGTGGTAGTCGCTGTTGCTGCTCTCTGCTTGGTATCGGCTTGGCATCCTTCCCTTGATGGACACATTGTTGAGGATGATGGAAATACACATCATGATCTTGAATACAGACTTTGTACTCGAGCCACTCTGCAAAATCTGGTAAGGTCGGCATTGGTGACTGAAGAGGATTGATGAACCACTTAAACTGCGCTCGAAGAATGGCAGTTTGGACAGCAGTCTGGTGACATGCAACCCACACTCCAGTTCTAGTCTCCCCTCTTTCCCAAGCTGTTCCAACAACATTCCGACTACAGCTTTTACTTTTAGAGGAAAAAGATGGAACCCTCAGCTGTCGCCACTCCAGACAGGAGGCTCAGACAGCACGTCAGTGATCTGCTGCAGGGCTAGTTTGTGAATTTGACCATACGGCTCTACAGGTTCTGGCTATTGCTGTATGAATCTGCAATCAGGAGAGCATCTTCCAGCTTGAGCTGATCATGATAAAGGTGGGATCACGTTTGCTACTAACTCTCCACAAGACAGTTAATAGCTAACTTTAGTAGCTTTAGTAGTTTTTTAAATGTTTATTTTATCCCCAGTTTTTGCTTTTTTCTGACACTTTCATTCGTGACATTACTTTTTGACTGTATGTGTTGTTAAAGCAGGCACATAATGCATGCTTATGAAAAAAGAGAGAAAGAGAATCACTATATCCACTACACAATTATTTTGTCACCTCTACACGTCTTCAGATATCTTGCCTTTCAATATGTTACTTCTGTTTTTCTTTTGAACTGATCGATCACCCGATACACATAAAACATACACAAAAATCTTATTTTAATAAAGAGATTTAAAATTTTTTTCCAGTCTGTACAAAACAATGTAGGTACAAAGTATTCTGTACCTACGTCGCACAGTGTACATTACATTGTACCATTTGCACTCACCATCCTGGTCGCTCAGGTAAGCCAATCATCTGCTCTTAGATGTGCCAGGACACAGCGTAAACTCAGAGAGACAGAGCTTTTGCTGTGACAGCACCTAAGTTGTGGAATTTGCTGCCATTGTCTATTTTTAAGTCACTTCTTAAAATCCGTTTTGAATTATTTCTTATTATTCATTTATTTATTTTTGTATTTTTCTTCTGTCCTTAATGATAAGCACTTTACTCATCACTCGCTAAATACAAAGCATTTTATAAATAAAAATGACATACTTTAATTGGAAATCAACAAATGTGCATTTAATCGGTAATGCTCTTCATTGAGAACGAGTGCCACACACAGTGATCAATTTCTCATATTTCTTAAAAAGTCCTTACTGTAGTACTGAGCCTGTACTTCTGCTGAGATGCCAGAAGATGGTGCTCAAGATTAAATAAACGAATAAAAAGACAATGTTTTCTGTATACTTGGTAGATGTTGCAATCCTACAGATCAGCAGATAACCTCAAAATGTTGTTGCAAAAAAAGAACAAGATCATTACAAAAAGCTGAAATGTAAACTTTCAGTATGTATGACAAGAACTCAGTTTTTCTCATAAGATCAGTTTCAAGGGAATCTACTGAGTTTGTTTTATGCTCCTTACGTGTTTAATGCTTGGAGTCTTTTAATGCAGTTTTGCATGTTTTAGCACGTTCTCTCTCTAATTTTCACATTTCTTGAAAGTAAATCTGTGATTGAATGTAAGGAAAGGCATATTGGGTCTACTTTAACTTTCATCTGACGCCAGGTTCAGATAGCTTGCCTTGAGGAGACTGTGAACTGGTGCTATATAAAATAAATGAAATAATATTATTATAGCTAAATAATACTGTTTACCCCCAAAATTACAACAAAAATTGACCCAAACTTTTCCACAAATCCTGCCATTTTTAACGATTTCAAGCATTTAAAGTATATTCTAGTTTTTATCTTATTGAATTAAAAATATAGCCTGTAACAGTTAATTATTAGGGTTTAGCTAGGAAGAGTGTCACTGTTTTAGACAAGACTGCATTGAAACTGGTTTGCAGATATCTCATATTTTGCATATTCTGTATATTTAGCAGTTGAATTAATGCTGAAATGTTGTCACATGAAGTTTTATGTGCAAAATCCACAGAATAGGCATCTCAAAAAATTGTTTCCTGTGACATGTTAAGACTTCCTATTGTACAGCTCATTGTTTTATTTCGTTCATTGGACATATTTCTTTGTGTTTATTGACATTAAGAATACTTCCATTAAAGCAAAACTTGGAAGCATGCAAAAAACTACTTGCTTGAAATCATTTCATAAGAAAAATCTATGACTGCTTGTATAAATATTTTATTTACAAAGTCACATACATTATAAAATGGGATATACAAAATCATACACACTCTACATACAGTACCAAAATCAGTATCTCATTTAAAGTTTGGATTGTATATAAGTAAAAAAAGAAATAAGAAAAACAGAAGACAATCTATTAAAAGATAAACAGTAAAAAAGACTAAGGCAAGAAGAGAGTTTCGAGGTCTATGGTATTGATTAGATGGCCACCTTTTCTATGCCAACCTCTGAATCCTAGCTACCTTTGTGAAATATTGCTTTCCTCTATTTACAGCTTCTATAATATGGCTTTTTATGATTGATAGTAGTTGTCAGAGGAGGTGGCTGAGGTTTCTTTGTGTGATCAGCTGATGTCCTCAGAGTCACTGATGTCACTCAGGGAGCACAGGCTGCTCTTTAGCGTGCTTCCTGTTCCAGCTTCAGTTAGACCTGAGAGCCACACGACAACACACAGACAGCATGAGACAGAAGCTTCATACTCCAAATGTCAACATGTCCTCCTATGAAGACCACGAGAGGCAGTAAAACGTTCATCTGCATTAAAGTGGCACTGACCTGATTTAGGACCCTTCTCTGTGGAGGTTCCCCAGACACTGGTGCTTCGTGATTCCAGGCTTTTCCTCATTGGTCCTGAATCCTGGGCTGGTTTTGACACATCCCGTCGGTCCTCTAAGGAGGAGACCATCCACTCGCTGCTCTCCTCTAGATCTGTGTACTGCCAGCAAGTACATTATGGTTTCAGCATTATGGATCATTTTTAATTTTGCGATGACAGCTTACATTTTTATTTATGCAGTATCAAATCAAAGCAATCCACTGAGATCACATCATCTTACACTGAGTTCCTGAACCTCATCCGCCCTCTCTGGTAAGACACTAACGCCACCTGGTGGTTTCTTGACTGCTCTCTCAGCAAACTGCTTCTCCATTTTTCTCGCCAGGTCACTGATTTTGTTTTCTGTAAAAAAGACATAACACACAATTTACACTTTAAGGCATTGGAACAATACCTTGGAATCTTACATAACAGCTAAACTATGATAGCATGAACCACATTCTGTGAATGGTCTTTGATCAACAACCACTGATCAAAATCCAGATAGTACCATTCACAGGGAGTTGAGGAATGGCTATAACCACAGCATTGCAACATGAAAATGGAAAGAGCATCTCTAAATGGAGGAGGGGGCCTAAGGGTGAACATGTATGCTGTATAATGTCATTTTACACAGATCCTTCAAAACATCAAACCTAACTAACCTTTCCCGT